TTTCCTTTCCTTTCCTTTCCTTTCCTTTCCTTTCCTTTCCTTTCCTTTCCTTTCCTTTCCTTTCCTTTTTCCTTTCCCAGTCTGCTCCCACCTTGGAGCAGCCCCCAGGAGAGGAGGATGACTGTGGATATGCCAGGGGACTGAGGTGGAAGCAGCTCTGGTTGCAGTGGTTAAGCAGTTTTAGATTTTCATGCATGCTTTAATCTGTGAAGGGCAGATGTGCTAGAGAGGTTTCTTTACTATATGGGTGACCTCTAGTTTGCTATTTTTGGTACCCTGTTTTTGGTGCTGTCTCTGTGCCATAATTTATAGGCTATGAGAACAAATTCAATATAAGAGGCATGTTCACAAGATGAATAATGTAAAAGCACTCTCTGTTGCACTTCAAACTTCATTTTAATTCCACTGAATTTTAAACTAATACATATTTTTTTGAGCATTGGAATGTGGAAAAAAAAATTACTTTTCGGCTTATCTTCAGTGAGTTTATTTTAAGGAGAAAAGAGGCAAAACAGATGTGCACAGTTCATTGGATTTTTTTCCTGAGAGAAGTTAAAACATGAGAAGCTGCCACCTCTTGCACCTGGAAGACATCGGACGAATTCATCTCAAGTGCCACTTAATTGATTGCAGAACACTGCAGTTCAATCAACTGCAATAAAATTAATTGAACCTCTCCAATGAAATGTGACTTAAACCAAAGGATTCAAAATAGGAACAGGTACTTATTAATGGAGGCCATTATTTTTAATAAGACAGGGTCCAAGTAATTGAGTGATGTTTAAATGCTCTGTGTAGTCTCATGAGGATGGGAGTCACTTACTTGCAACAGCTTTCAGGTTAGATATAAGATTGCAAAATGCAAAATTTTAGATGAGAGTGCTAATTTAACATAGTTCTGCATTTCAAATCATGCCATGGGTAAGAGATGAAAAGCAGCCTTTAACCCTGCTGCTTTTTTGGGGCGTCATCTTTGATCCCAAACTAATCCAGTGAGTTTGTACTTACTAGAAGAAAACAAGTGGTGCATTTCCCTTGAGGGAGGTCAGACACTGCCATGGGGCCAGTCTTAGCTGGGTGAAACACAGATGAATGTATGACCACCTTTATAGGCTGGTTTGACTAAAGTTAGACACATTAAAAAAATTTAAAAGGTCTTTGAAGGACTGACAGCTGTTACGCTCCATTCAGGTTTTCAACTTTGTCATGTTCTTAAAACATGTGTTTAACCAAGGCAGGACATTACTCCCACATGATATGTTTGCAGAATACTGGGAAAGTAAGGGGAAAATAAAGGATATTTAGGCTTTTGGTAGCTTGACACAGAATAAAAACTAATATAAACTGGTTACACCTAGGACAGAGATTAGAAAAATTACCAGTTCTTCTCAGAGGTTCTGGGCCTAACAGGAATAGCAGGGATGAGAAATCTGAGAAGTTCCAAGATGGAGCTTGCCTAAATGTTAAGAAACAAATTTTGTGATGCAGTTGCCATAACAACCAAGGAGTCTGGAGTTTATGATCTGAGATGCCTCTTCCTTCCAGTGCCTCTCAGAAATAGATGTTCCTGAGCACAGCTGAGGCTTTGGTGTGACTCGGGGGGATGGAGCACTGCTGGCTGAGCCCTTCCTCGACAGCTCTGCTGTCCCCAGCAGAGCCCACATCCACAGGACAGTGGTTCTGCCACTGCTGGGACAGCCCTGGAGATCGCAGCTTTCACCAGGCTCCAGCCTGTCCTGCTGCCCTTGCCCAGAGCAAGCACAAGGCAGTAACATCTCCCTTTGCCACGGGAGCTGCAGCAGAAAAGGCACAACATTCCCCAAGTGCAGACAGGGGGAAGTGTGGTGACAGGACAGAATCTCCAGGACATTGTCTCCCCATAGGGCGTTTTCCTTTAGGCATCTCAGATTTTGTTTTGTGCCCCAATATTTGAGTTTATGCCAAGAAATTTATACTATAGCAAGGCAACGAATGATTGTGATGTTTTTCCCTTAATTCCTATGTACTTTTTTTTTAGAAAGGCTGTCAAATACTTCCCTATAATATTTCTTCTGGAGAAACCCCATAAATGACAGAATTCAGGTGGGAAGTTGCCTCCTTTGATCACCCAGTCGAATTCCATGCTCACTGGCTTCATCTTTTCATCATCCCATGCAGTAAGGCCACCAGGGCAGGCAAATCTATGAGCAAGTGGATTACTGCAAAAACATCATTAATGCAAGATGTCAACTGGAATTTCCACACGCTTGTATCCCTGCTTCTGTGAAGTTTTTTCTTCTTTTTCTTTTTAATAGCACCTTTTAGATCAACAGAGTGCATGAAGCCTCTGAAGCATCTTTTACACCAAAGTAGATAAATGGGATATGGTCAAACACCAGTGGGAATCAGTGATGTTTGTGTAGGAGATCAGATTGTAAACAAACTTCCCATTTGTATTAAAAAGTCTTCAGGAATTTTCCAGAGGTTATTCAAGGCCTGTTTCAGAAACTGTTGAAATAAATGAATAGTTGGAGCCCAGTGGACTGAAGCCAATTGCTTCTGTATGTTTAAACTTCTGTGGTGTGATGGGAATAATTGGGTTTGCAGAGACAAATTCATAAATTAATTTCCATTATGGGACTCATAGATTTATAAATATTATATAATTAATTAATATAAATTTATATATTATATTATTACTTTCTATTTTAATCTAAGACACAGGTTAAAATCATCTGCTAGCTTTTGAGACAGTGAATCTCGATATCATTTGTGGTGAAATGCATTTTCTAAGCACATAAAATGTCACTACACAAAAGCATCTTTTGGCATTGGACCTTTTTAACTTGCCTCCTCATTTGCATTCGTGCTCACTTCTGCATTCAGGCTTTTCCTGGGATGCTCAGGGAGAAGAATGCTGCCAAGAGAATTTGTTCAAATTTACTTTCTCAGAAGCCTTTCTGGATTCTCTTTGTACCCTTGTGCTGTCCATTAGCCTGTTAAATCCAGGATGAATTTAGAGGATAAAATAATAGGATTTTTGACACTAAATATACTTGTCAGATACAAATCTGAGATATTTTTTGCTGGTTTGTGCTAAATTCTGCCCCAGCCCATCCCAGTATGGCCACAGACACCACAACCCATTGCTGGTTTTCAGGGGGTGACCCCAGGTTGGCACTGAGAGCACAAATAACTTCCCCAAAAGTGTCTGGGTCACTGTGTCTTTCCTCCTCTCACATTTGAGTCTCCAGATGGGAAACTCTTACTGGCTGCTGACAGGCAGGGCCACGTGCACAGCTCCGTGGTTATTTGAAATGCAGAAGCATCGTTTGAGCCTGCAAAATCACTCGTGGGCTATTTATTTTCACTGGTACAAATTGTGATTGGGTTCGCGTGTGTGAAATATTTATCAAAAAGGGTGAATTTTAAAAACTGTGTAGGCAGGGGGTTGTAAGTGTGTGTAACAGGTTTGGGGGTTTGTTTGGGGTTTGTTTCAAGTAGTTCAGTGGATAAGGAAGAGATTCTGAGAAGCTTCTTCTGGGAGGATGTGGATTCCCAACTTCAACCATTCCAATGGGCATTCCAGGCATAATGATGGAGTTCTGTCTGCTTAATCACTGTTAAAAATGATTGACTGCCTTTTCCACTGAGAGAATGTTTTGGTAATGGAAGGATTAGGATGATGCATTGAAGAAATCAATGTATTTTTAAAATTTTTTCTTTTAATTAATGGAACAAAGTCTGCAAAGGTGTCTTTATCTGGTAGTGGTTTCTTTTTTTTTTCCCTTTTGCACCTTCCTACGGGAAGGCTGCTCTGGTGAATGTGTTCCAGCTCCTGCATCTGCCAGCTTACAGTGTGCAGGTTATTTTGCTATTGTATTATATGATATTGCATTGTATTATAATATATTACATTATATTATATTCAACCCATTACATAACTGTGCATTTCAGGGAAAAAAATGCTTTTATCCAGCCTGTTTAGATTATTTTTAAAAACATTCAATCTGTGAGATATATTACTTCATAAATTAATTCTGTCAAAGTAATTTCCATCCCACTGCCCAGTAACCAGATGATAATAAAGGATGATTTTCAAAATTACAGAATTCTGAGGCTTTTCCCAAGAGTCCAGAGGGGATAGAGAGGAGTTGTTGAAACTGTGGGCTGTCCCAAGGGACAGCTTTCCTTGCATTTGGTTCATTGGATGACCAGATTTCATTGATGTGGCAGAGACCCAGCCTCCTCACATGTCTATTTCTATTATTTATTTTCACTTATTTATGAAGGACACGGGAGAAAAATCTTGGTGCAGGAATGTTTTGTGAGATGGTAAAGAAAAATAAGAACCTCAGGTTTTGCAGTGAAAAATTGCAGAAAATATGTGGAAAGATTGGCTTGAAGAAGAGGGAAAAACACAAACTTGTGTCTGCAAAACAACTTTACCCTTTGTTTCTAGAGCTTCCTTCCAAACACTAAGCCACTAAAAGAAAAAGTAGTTTTTGAGTGTTTTAAAGAACGGGTTTACATTTAATACCAAGAACACAGGTGATTGTGAAATTAATTGGCACAGGTGATTATGAAATGAATTCCTATTGAGTTGGAATTGATATCTGCTTTACTGGTTTACAAATTCCCCCTGCCAAAGCCTGAAGTGGAACTTGAGAGAGATTTGCCTCAAATTACTCACACCTGGAAAAGTTTTGCTGAATAATATCAAACTAAAACTGTCAGACAGTTCAACCTGCTTGAACTCTGCTGTCTCACTGCTTAACAACCCTTCCTGCAGTCGTTTGCTTCTGGATGAAATATTGAAGAAAGGTAAAAGAAATAATGTCACTGAAATACTTATAAACTATTGACAATTCCCAAGTTATTGCTATGTAATCATGCTCCAGTTTTACCCCCTGAGGTGCTAAGGACTGTGAAGATGAGGTTCTGCTCTGCTGGTTTCATGATTCTTTTGTTCTCTCGTATTTCTGTGAGACTCTGAGTTAAATAACCTCCAGCTCTCCTATCAATATTTTTATTTTATTTATTTTCAGATAAATCTTTTCAGTCCCAGCTTTTGTAACTGTGCCTTTTCAACAAAGCTGCTATAAACAGTCATTTATAGGTTCTGTTTCTGAGGCAGCTTTAAAAAAATGTGTTGTGTATATTTGCTCCTGCTCTAAATGTTAAATATCATTGCACAGAACGATGGGAACAGATGGGATGCTGCATAAGCTGTTTATCATATTACACATTTATCACTTTACACTAGTGAAGTGTACATGTGTTTGATTAATATTGACTTTTGATTTATTTGGAGGGCTCTATTTTTTGACAGCATTAGGGATTACATTGTAATCCTTACTGGCTTGATATTTAATTCCAGTAAAAATAGAGTGGTTACATTCCATAATTCTTAATTACATGTTTTTTTTTTCCTGTGGAAAAGAATTACCTGGTTGAGGCTTTAATACTGGAAGGAATTCAGAAGTAAATGGATAATGCCGTTTGCTTCAGTATTTTAGACAGATTAAATTTAGACGCCATTGGTCCAGCTGAATAAATATCTCTTAGAATTAAATACCAGATGCTAAGGAGGTGTAAAAGTAAACCAGCAGGAGTCCTATTTAAATCAATATTCTTTTATACCCTCCACCTACAGAATGAGAGCACTTCATCTTTGCCTGCTCAACAGGTCTGGATGTTCAGCATGTGTTCCACCTACGTCACAGGACATGGAACCAAAAAAGCATCTCCAGAAGCACCTCGGGCTCAGGCACAGAGCACACAGCTCGTCCCGTAGGCTCCAACTGCAGCACTCTATGAAAAGATGGTTTTCCAATGCTTTGCTTCATTAAAATGCATTTTGGCTCAGCTGAAGCCTGAAAAAAAAAAAGGGAAGGTTTTCCTTCCAGACAATGGATGGCAAAATGATTTCAAGTTGAAGTGGGGAGGCTTGAGCTGTTTGTTCTGCTAAACAGCAATAATATTTAATGAGAGATTCTGCTCTAAACTGTAAATCCTTTCGAGTGTGAGATGCCCAGCCTGTCAGAATAAATAGAAGAGGCTAAAAACACTTACTTTGAAAATGACTGTTCATTTTGGAAGGCATTGAGTGATCTCAGTGAAATATTACTGAGTCAGTGGAATTTTGGAGAGAGATCAACTTCCCAGCATGTATCCTGGCAGCAGCTCTTCCTCCATTCCTCAATATCTTTTGTGTTCAAATAGCACAGGCAGCACTTCAGTCTTACATGTTGTCATCATTCAAATTTCAGATAACTTTCAGTGACTGCTTATAGATTGAATGAATAAATAAATTACTTTTAGCCATGCTTATTTACACTTTTTATGCCTCTGCTTTCCTCTATGTCTATTAATTGATATTATGGAAAGACATATGCAGTAAAAAGGATGATTTAGCACTAGGAATTACTGAGAGAGTGCATATATGTATTTATTTTTTTTCTTAATTTTTTTTTCCTTTAGCTGAGTGTTGCAGTGCAGTTTGAAGTTTAATTGGCATGACCACAGTAGCTTCTCAGAGCTTCATGTATTTAACTCTTCTTTTTCCATGGACACTCTTTGGGCCTGCTATGGTCCTGTTGCCTTTGCTTGCAGGACAGGAGATCCTTCCAGAAACTTGCAAAAAGAAAATTCTATTTGTTGTAAATGAAATATGTAAAGGGCAGGATTTGGTTGAATTTATTTAGATGTGCATTTCCCAAAGGAATAGCTTTGTTTCCTGGTCATCATGTCAGTTATGCACTGTTCCTCAAATACATATTTTCCCTGAAAGGCAGTAACTAGAAATTCTGTTTCTACCTGTTCCTTCCAGGTTCTGTTTATAAAAATGATAGAACAAAAATTTTCTGCATTTTAATCTAAAAGACTCCTTCCTTTCTGTGCAGGTTAATAATGAGAATGTAGTGAAAGTCGGCCACAGGCAGGTGGTGAACATGATTCGACAGGGGGGCAATCACCTCGTGCTGAAGGTTGTCACAGTAACCAGGAATCTTGACCCAGATGACACAGCAAGGAAGAAAGGTACATTTTTTTTTTCTCTTCCTAATGGACTCTCCTGCCCTTCCTTCATAGAAAACCAAATATGGGCAAGAAATAGCTGTTTTCTAAATTCTCATTTATTAGACTTTGCTTCTAAAATTTTAAATACCCTGTTTTTGTTTAATTTGGAGTGATTTAATTCTGTTGGGTTAGACATTAACATGTGGCCAAAAGATCAATATTCTCTCATCATGCTTGATGTTGAAGTTCATTTTTTTGGGGTTTTCACCTGTATTTGTTTGAGGATCTTGTAGTAAAATTTCTTGCAGTAGTGGGAGAGGAAAAACATTGAGAGCAGATGATCTTTTACTAATTTCAAAAGTACTTGAGATGGGAGTAGTTCAGCAGTGTGTTTCTCACCCACTCATTCAAAAAGCCACCACGAAAACTTCATCCCCCCAAAAAAAGAGAAATTTACATGTTTCCTTTACCTTAGATGCCCCTGAGTTTGGTTTCCCAGCTATGCTGGGAAGTCATTAGGCCCTCATAATTATCATTAAGCAGGAAAGATTGCTGCTGCTCGCTGGTGTTCCCTAGAGCAGCAGTTCCTGTTCCTCCCCCAGCCCCTGAGTTCTCACTCACACACACCTGGCTCTTCAGGGCAGGTGAGGGGCTGGCACTCCACCACTCCCTCCTGCTCCATGAAATGAAAACTTTCTCTCTGTGCTGGAAGTGTTTTCATCTCCACTGCTTATTAAAAATTATAATAATTTTTTTTTAAAAGAGAGTGAGACCAGCTTGTGGAATGGAGGGGAAAGGCTGTACTAAATTAAATGATGTCCCAGCATGGTCCTGCACTTTTTTTGGCTTGATGGAATTACTGTTCACACATTTTACACAAACCTTTTTGCCTTTTGGTATATATCATATTGGCCTTAAAGGTAGTGACTGTACAAGGGGCAATGATTTAAACTGAAAGGCAGCAGGCTTAGACTAAATATTAGTGGGAAATTCTTCCCTGTGAAGGTAGTGAGGCTCTGGCACAGGTTTCCCAGAGAAGCTGTGGCTGCCCCATCCCTGGCAGTGTCCAGGGCCAGGATGGATGGAGCTTGGAGCAACCTGGGACAGTGGAAAGGTGTCCCTGCCTGTGGCAGGGGGTGGAATGAGATGAACTTTTCTGACCACTAGAAATATTTGTTTTCAGGATACTGAAACACAGGTTGTAGTTTCTGTGCTAGGTTATTGCCTTGTTATTTTAAGACCTTATATATTCTGAGGGTCACCTGTTTCCCTTAGAGTCACCTTAGCAATGCACATGGATTTGAATGTTCTTTCCAGCATTTCTCAGATTGAACAGTTTCTCCAAAGATTAAATGAATCTGCCAGGGATTGGCTGGTGCCCAGGAGGATTTTAGCCCCGCACATTTCTCAGAAGGGGCACCACTGCTGCGAGCTCCTTTCTCTAGAAAGCCCTTTTCCTGCTGGGAAATAGAAGTGCACAGTTATTTAGCTTTAAATGTTTCTATGTATCCTGTTACATAAAAGCTTGCGGATGTGTCAAGCAACCTACGCTAGAGCCAGAAACAGTGGAGAAATTCAGTCCACGAAAAGCATCTCAGGGCTTTTTCCTCCGCATGTAGGTATTTATTCTCGCCTTATTTCATGGAGCTGATTCTTTTAAATGGATATGGAATAGTGGCTGTGAGCATAGGGCTTCCAGAGGGTGTGTTTTGGCTGACACTTGTGTGTTTTTCTGTCCCATGCACAGCCCCACCACCTCCTAAGCGAGCTCCAACCACTGCACTGACCCTGCGGTCTAAGTCCATGACCTCAGAGCTTGAAGAGCTTGGTAAGAAAGTGTTTTTTGGCAAGCATGCTGGCTTGGTGGAGATGTAAATATCTATCTATATGTCTCTATGTGAAATTGATGAAGGGAGCTGCACTGTGTACAGTGTCTAGAGCAGAGGAGGTTTTAAGAATGCTGCATCTTTGGAGAGTTCAAAATGTGCATGACTCGCATGACTGATTTTTGTGGAGACTTGTGCCTTTACTGCTGCGCAAGGGAATGTTGATACATTTTATGCATCATCAAAGTTTGGCACATCCACAAAAAAAAAAAAAAAAAAAAAAAAAAAGAAAAGAAAAAAAGAAAAAAGAAAATAATGCTGTGTGTTTTGTTAGCTTTGCTTTCTAAATTTTCAGTTCATCTAATATTGTTTTATTTTAAATTTCTGTGGCCTCTCATTAGTGGATAAAGGTAAGCTGCCAGAAGCTGTTGTTAAAAGCTGACAGTATTAAAGCAGCTTCAACTTCAACTTGTTTCATTTGATCTGAAAAAGTGCATATTATGATATCACTTTGACTTCTGTGCATGATATAAACTTAATTCCTCTCACTATTGGTAATAAAAAATTATTGAGTATTCAGTCTTTTATTTGCTAATTTTGAGAAATATGGTTGTAGATTCCTTTGCTTGATCATCCACATTCTAGATATGCATAATTCTTCAGGAATTTTTATTCATTTTCTAGAAATGAGGAAGGTAATTGTTCTTCTCTTCCTGGTTTTAATCTGTTAGGTCATTAAAAGTTAAAATTTCTGCAACTAGATTTAAGACATGAAAATAGGAATAAATCATATATAAAAAGAGAAAAGCCCAGTGCATATTTCTATGTGGCTATAACAGTAAAACAGTGTGCTTAGCAAGTGAGAAACGGGTATAAAACCAAACCACATCCCTCACTGCAGAGTAATAGATGATAATAATCCGTACAATAAAACCGTTTTTCCATGTAATTCTACAGTGATTTAAATACTTAATTTTTTAATCTTGGGGTTTTCCTGACATGGACTCATCTGAAGGCCAGCTGGAACAAATCAAAGCCTTGTAGCCCCTTTTTTCCCCCTGTAAGTCAGTGTTTTCTGGGGCAGATGGATCCCGTCCATCCTTTAGTGAGTCAAGTCACGTAACTCCAGTGGGAAGTCTCCCAGCAAGGTGGTGTTGAAGTGGGTAGTGTCTTCTCTATGGTCTAACAACCAAATGAAGACCAAAAAAACCACCCCAGTCTGGTTATTTAGCTCCAGCATGTCTCAGAATATTTGGTTTTTATGTACAATGAAGTTTAGGAGCTTAATTCAAGGTATCGACAGCTTATGAGTGCTCCTTTATTTTTCTTCGAGGATTAAAATATAAAATATTATTTCTGGAGCACACTTTGTGGGTCTGGATGTTTTATATTTGCTTTTCTTTCATGGAGTGCTGAGAGCTTGTAAAACTTTGCTGGTTTATCAACCACCTTTCCCAGGGGGACAGCAATACTTAGGCACCATTTTTGCCCCTTTGTTATCCTCTTCTGCCAATTGCTTTCAAGCTGAGGATATTCTTCTATTTCTCTGACTTTTCAGTCTTCCACAGGAGATATTGGTCTTAAAGCAGAAACAGCATTTTCCTGGGGGAGAATAGCTTGTTAATAGTAATGTCCCTAATGGAGACCATCACATTTTATCTTTCTCACACCCCTGCTCAGGTTGTGGCCCTTGCTCTTCTGTTTGTCCTCACCAAGTGGCAGAAGCCACTGCAACTCCTTTAACAAGCAGCCATGGGACCTATTTCCATTTTTAAGCACATTTCCCATTGATACCTTTATCTAGATGGGGCAGACATTGCAGTGGCAGGAGTTTTCTGTTCTGAGTAGTCCTGCACCATGCTCCAGAGATGTTTGCCCCCTAAGAAAGCTGTAGTAGTAGCAGAAATTTGCTTTCTTCCTAAAAAAGTCTGTAAATGCCACTTCTGTGACATTCTGAACATTTGCCACCCTAGCAAACAATGTGACTGCTATTCCAAATAACATCTGTGGTCTACCTATTTTCATATTTGTCCTGGAAAAGGGCTGTTGCCAGAAGGGACGAGAATTCTTAAATTGCACAACAGCTGAACAAGCTTCCACAGGGAAAATGTTCTCCCTATCATCAGTTTAAAGTTGTCTCCTGACATAAAACACAGCTTGTATGTGTGTATTTATCTATAATTTATAGCTCCCTCTATGTATTTGTGTATATATTGGACATCTGTGAGAGCTATGAGAACACCCACATTTTTATAGCCATTAAACTCTCTAATGAATGAGCATTTCTTTCATGACATATATGTGCAAACCAAATAGGAAGAACTTATAAATGAGCACTGTGGATGTTCTCATCAATACCTATGTGTAACCCTTTTTCCTGAACTGGAGAACTTCATGGTCTAAACAATGTCTCGTGACAAAGAATCCCACGGGCTAATTATGTGCTGTGTACAGATGTATTTCCTTTTTATTGGTTTTGAATGTGATGCCTTTAATTTTATTGAATGTCCCTTGTTATGTAATAGAAGAAAAATGTAAAGAGAAACTCCCCATTTGCTTTCCCTTAGAGTGCATAGTTTTGTAATGTCTTCTAGCTAAGTTAAACATAATTTAAAAAGAAAAACTATCCATCTTGCAGTCATTACAGTCACTTCCTTTGCCTGGCTCTGAACCCTACTTACAGTTTTATTGACATGTTTTGAGCTATTCTGTTCTTCATAATACAGAGCAGACCATCTGAGCTGTTCTCTTTAAATTAATTAATCCAAAAGATGGCAGTGTGCTAATGATTCCTTTCCATTTCAATCTGCAAAGATTTGGAAATGCCCGATGTTGTCACAGTTTGACAGCCCTGTATCAATAAGTTGCCCCAATTACTGTTTTAAAAAAAGAACTTAGAAAAAAAAAAAAAATCTGCATGTATCCCTAATACCTGCAGGGGAGAAATTCCTCGTAGTTATCATAAACCCTGATAAGAACAAAAGCAGATTTTATCTATTGTGGTTTGAGTGATACCTGTTTAGTAGAGGTGAGCAGGGAGAGACTGACATCTTAGAGGGAAGGAAAATGTTTGAGCTCAAAATGACAGACGAGGATTTAGCATTTTAAAAATTACCTTCAGAATTGATTCACAGTTCATTCCCTTTCTATTTCCAAGCTTCAGTACGGAAGAAGAAGGGTAAGGGGAAGCATTTTGTCTCTTGTTTAACCTGTTTCTCACCTTTCCATAGTGAAGGATAATAACAATGTAAATGTTGGCATATGGTCCAGTTTATTTTATGGTGTCAAATGTACATTAATTATTGTATATGTTTTTTAGTTATTTAGTTAAAAAAATTGCAAACACACTAAGAAATTCAAACAGAAGACCACATTCGAAAATATCCCCCGCATTTCTTCCTTTTGTCTCCTTTCCTTCACCTTGCCTTTTTTTTCCTTCTCTGTACCCGACTCTTCTCCAACCCCTTCCATCTCATCTCCTCACAGTTGCTGTGCTGACTGGCAGCCGCAGAGAGTTAGTGGCCAGTGGCACGCAGGGCAGTCCCACGTCAGTGGTCCCGCCCGTGTCCCGAACGGCCGCGCGTTCTCCCGTGCCCACACTGTGTCTGTCTCAGGGATCAGGGATCTTGCACACCACACCTGAGCTTCTCACCCTCAGAAACGCTGCTCTGTCCGGTAGAACATCTTCCACGCTGTCCTGTATGCATGGAGTGCCCTTCCTGGACTGATTCATGAGGCCACCCACCACCTTCTCCTCGAAATCTGTCCCAAAGCCCCACCTTCCCTAGATCCCCACTGAGCAATCATCCCAGCGCTGATGGCGAGGCAGGGGGGCAGGTAGAAATAGCAGTGCTATTTTAATAGCTTTCATAAATGTATTTTCGTGTAGAGACTCTGTTTGTGTTGAGCTGTACTTTTTCCATGCTCCTGTGCATCATTTTGCTTCCCTAGATTGTGAGCTCTCCCGAGCAGGGGCTGTTCATTTCCACGTTCTCATGGAGTCTGGCCCAAGGAAGAGTCTCCCACTTCCCTGAGCCCCTGGGTGGTAGCTGGTGAAAAACAGGCTGTGTCCTGCTCTTGGATGAGGTTCAGTGTCATGGAAAGGAAATCTAGGCTGTAGGCAGTGTCTTCTCTCAGCAAGGAAGCTTTTCCTTTTTGACATTTAATAGGACGGAATTGGGTTATTTTCCACTCTGTATTTTCCTGCTCTTTCCTGACCTCCTTTCAGGTGGTTACCAGAGGTTCCAGCTAGGGATATTTGCCATTCTCCATTCAGAGAATATGACAGAATAAACCACATTGCTACTGAAAAATATGTTTTGGCAGCATATAAAAAAAAATCTTGGTGATGTTGTACAGTCTTCTGTCAACCAAACATTCAGTTTTCTGGGTCAGAGATGAGGGAGGTATTAAGATAAAAATAATGGCTTCTGAGGTTCTGTCTGACTTGTCTTGCTGGTTATCTCTGGAGTTGGGTTCTGGTTCATTGGGAGAGCAGGGGAAAGGAAGGCAGGACGGGACATAGGCTGTGTTTTTTGATATTCAGGAGAGAAGATAGGGTATTTGTGTCTGAAAAGGTGATAAAACCCTTAGGTTTGGAGCAGTATGGCATGGGCATTTTACTGCAGTTACAAAGCATGAATTACTAAAATTTAACTTCATCTGTGCCACTGACTTTCTGCTTGCAGTAGTTGCCTGACTCAGAGGTAGCTCCCAACCTTGAAATGCATGTGTGGAGGGGTCATGTCTCCAAACTACCTTCTGGATTTCGTGGGATACTTGGGATGGGGGAGTGTTCTTCTTCTTTCTTGTGCCTTGTAGTTTTCCAAGAACTGTTGTATGAGTAAGTTATGGCAACGTGTAAACCATGAGTTTTAGCAGCAACCTGTTGGAGGCAGCACTTAAAATGTGATTCCATTAATACTGAAAAATATCCAGGATATCCGTGCAGCAAAATGAAATGAAAGTTTGAAAATACTCTGAAAATGAAAGATTAAGGGAAAAATTTGAGGTCATAATTTTCATTATCACGACGGGAAAATAGGTGTTGTTAAAGCTTCACAATTAATATTTTAAAACTTTAAATTTAACTCTGTTCATAATAAGTTTATGCAGCTGGTGGAGAGCTTGGTTTTAAATGGCTTTTCCTTCAGTTTTTGTTTTGACTGATTAATAACTCAATGTGGAGGGAGAATTTTAAAATTATATGATCCTTAAGGAACACATCCATAAGCTAAGATCTATAAATGTCTAGATACATGATTTAAAAGTTTCCTGCTTCTCAGCTTTCTTTGCTGCCAGGAAATGGGTTTGATTTAGTGAGTAATTTGGGATTTTCAGTGAAAGCTGGAGTGGACATTGTTGAATTTTAAAATATCTAATATAAAATCCTCTAAGAGAAGGGACAAAATGAAGAGTAGAGTAGGTTAAATTTCCACAGCGAAATGGGAATGACAAGATAAATAATCCTTCTGCATTAATAAATAATCTGCTGGCAGTGTCTCATGGGTGTCAGTTGTGAGCTAGGGTGGTGCTTTGTTTGTTCTTAGATTTGATATGGTAATCAATATAAAATATTGATATATACCATATCCTGATAAAGTATATGTGTTGGTCCTGGTCTTTGGGGTTTGGTGTGGGCTGCAGTACCAACTACAAATAAAGGATTTTCTCCTTTGAAGGGTGTAGATTCTATCACCACCTCACAGATACAGAATAACTGTGGTATCATCAACACAGAATATTGTTACCTGGCATCAAGTCTGACCAGCATTTGAATAGAAAAATATCAGTTGATGGCATTCAAAATAAATATTATTAGCTCTGTCTGCAATAAGCATTCCACTTCATCCCATTCCTGTTGTCCATTGTTTCAAAGGTGGCACCTTCCAATGGCATCTGAAACAATGAAATTGCAGAGCAAATATATCTAAATGAATGCCAAGCAGTGGATTAGCTCACAGTGGTTTGTTCTGTTTGAAGAGACCACTCCCAAAGCCGTCTGGGTTCAAAACTCACTTTTTTTATTTCACTGTGGTGGAGTTGATGATGGAGATTTGTCTGCAGGGAACAATGGGAATACCACCAAAGCAACTTTTACAGCACTCACCACGGCAGCTCCTGAGATAGCTCCCAGCACCTGCAGTGCTTCTCTGTAGGAAGAAGGTTTTCAGATCTTCACCAGACACTATTTCAGAAGATGAGAGCAAAAGGCATCAGGCTCCATGAAGAATTCTTGAAGGTTATCCCTTGTAAGTAATTAATTCACATTACATATTTGAAATTCTAATGAGGTGGCAGTGTAGTAATGAGGAAGAGGTTGTCATCGGGTTGTCATTTATCTCAAGCAGAAAGCAGTGACTCTGGGTGGAATTTGTCAAGTCTGTGTGAAGAAATGCCAGCCCCATTTGTGGTCGGTGCAGCGAGGTTGCAGATTTTATGGTTTGTAGTGTAACTTGGGGGAGTCCACAGCAGTGTAAGTGTAGGATTAGGACTGTGGCTACAATATAAGTACTTGTAAAACACTTTGTGAGAGAAAAGTATTGAAAACTGGCATGTTTCAAAAAGGGAACAATGTTAAACCTGTGTTTTCCACGAAAAATAACTTGGCAATGTCCTGATTAGCAATTTGTGCCACAGAATCCAAACTTAGTAGGTAACTCCTGGTACTGAAGACTTCAGACCAGGATTTACCTTTCATGAGATGCTTTAACATTTTGGAAATGGGAATCCTGAGTAGAGGCTGCCTGAGTCTGTGTGGGTGTTCTCATCTACACTGTTATTATTTTGAATCTATCAGCTTATTCTCGAGGATGTAGCACCCTGTCATGATACTTGTTTTTCTTTACTACAGGACTGTAATTGAAAAGGTTTTCAAAACCTTTCTGCATCAGCCATACAAGACAATGGTATAAAAGAAGTTGGAAAAAGAATTGTAAGTGTTGCAGAAAATGTGGGGTTTGTAGCATTTGCAAAGAGACCCATTAAATACGTTGGTTTCTGTGAGTGTGACTATGCTCAGATATTATCAATTTAATATCTAAGCACATATTCAAAATCATGAAGGCTTGAGAAGCAGTTAAAATTGCATGTGTTTCCCAACATAGCACAGTTAGGGCAGTGGAAAACTCTTTCAGCACTTTTAATGTGTTCTCTCTCTTTTTCAGGAGCCAGGGAGATGAAGGACTTATCTCCCTCATCTCAAAACTCCCTTTGCTGCTATTTCTTTTTTTTTTTTTTCTTTTTCCTTCAAATGTTCACATACCCATGTTAATTAATTTCTAATCTAATTAAAAATAAATGTTTTTAGATAATTCCTCATAGTTTGTTTGGTTTTTCCCCTGGGTGTGGAAGTGTGAGAGTCAAGTGTAAGACCAGAGAAGGCTGCAAGTGTCTTAGATCCTCCAGCTTCTTTTTGGTTTCTTTGATTTGATTGCCTTTCTTTTGTGACTAGGCCAAAACTTCAAATGGCCACTTAAATTCCACCTGGCTTGCAGGGTAGGAGTGGGTATTGACTATATTCTCTGCTTTGTTTTTGTTCTTGAACAGAAACCACTGTTAGACAATGACCATTCC